TTCAGAGCTCAGCGGCCGGACTTCTCCTCCGCACGCCCGGGGAGGCGGGCGGGCGCGCTTCTAGGCCCCCGCGGCCCGTCCGTCACGGCCCTGCCAACCGCCCCTTCATCCCCGAGAGAGAGAGACCCTCACGGCGTTCCCCGGTTTACTCTTCTGGGGGCGGCCGGGCCTGAAGGTGCGGGGGGACTCCGGCCCCGTCCCTTCCCGCCGAGCCGCCGGCCGCGAGTGCGCATGCTCCGCGGGCCCGCCGCCGCCGGTGAGCCCTCATAGAGCCATCGCGAGGCGGGCTAAGCGGAGCTCCAGTGGCGCAATCGGTTAGCGCGCGGTACTTATACAGCAGTGCTTGCAGAGCGATGCCGAGGTTGTGAGTTCGAGCCTCACCTGGAGCACGACCCTTTTGGGTGTCGGAGGGCCCCCTTTTATCCCTGCCCAGGAGAACAAGTTAGTCTCTCTTTAGCCCTCCCAGTTCCTGTCTCGGCTCCGAGCGCACGTACAGCTCAGTCGTTGGCAGGAAGCCGATCGCAATGGCGCTTCTAACCTGCTTTCCGAGCTACTTGTTCGCCCCGCGCGCCACCCAGCTGCTCGGACCCGGGTTACTTACTGCTCCCTCCTAGTTCTCCCCCTAGGCGTCTCCTTTCATGGCACCCAGTCCCGGCTACAGCCCCGGGTGTGTGGCCCGGAGGTCCCGGGGCGCAGCACCCGTGAGGGGGCCACGCCTAGGCATCGAGTTAGAAAATCCCCGGCGCCCCACTCCACGGGGCGTGCCGAGCTCTCGGCGCCGGACCAGCCCGGTTCCCGGCTGCTGCTCCTCGTCCCGGCCCGGCGCGGCGCGGTGCGCTTTGGGTGGCGCGGCCCGGGCCGGAGCCGGAGCCGGAGCGGGGGCCGGGCGACCACTCCCGGGAGTTGGGGCTGAGGCCCCGCGCGGGGGCGCAAGTGGAGCAGCCCCCCTTCCTTTTCAATAGTAATAACTGGTCATCCCCCTCGCTCCCATCTGCGGGCCCTGAGACCGCGGGCCGTCCCTACCCCCCTCCCTAGGCGGGGTTGGCGGAGTTTGGGGAGTGTGCCTGGGGCGTCCCTCTCTCCCCAGTCTGTGCCCCTTTCTCCCCGGGGTGAGTCAGGAGGGGTGGGTTCGCCGGTAAACCAGATGTTTTCTAGTGCTCTCCGAGGGGCTGGTGCCCTTCCATGCCGGGCCACAAACCCCAGGCTCAGGGTCCTGGGTGGCTTTTGGGGCAGGAAATGCCCCCCCCCCCCGCCCCCGCAGTGGCCAGCTGGCGTTTGAAGCCTGCACCAAACACTGCCCTGAGGCACAGGGGCTTGCTTGCGCTGCTGAGGGGTGGGTGTCCCAGGTCGGATGGATGCCCGTATTCCCAGGAGGTGTGGGTGAGAGGGAACAAGTTTGGTTGGGGTGAGAGGCCTCCTGGACGCGTTCTCCCCAAAGAGTGGTTTCAGCTGTTTCTATGGACGTGATGGGAGTTAAAGCTTGGGATGGAAATAGGACCTGGAGTGGTGAGAAGCTAAACCTAGAAAACGCGGAGGAAGTAGGTGGTGGTGGAGCCCCTGTTTGTCTCCTGGTCCTACTACCCCAGCCCCAGATTCAGAATGGGGAGGCCCAGGCCAACCAGTGTGAGAAAGCCCACCCGCCTCACCTGTTCCTCACCCAACCAGGGCCTTTCACAGGCTCATCCTCAGCAGGGGGCGAAATCTAGCCCAGGCCTGGAAACAAATATCTATCCATTAAAAAAAAAAAAAAAGCTTGCTTAATTTTTTAAAAAGCTTTGTTGATATATAATTCACACACCACACAAGTCACCCATTTAAAATGTACAATTAAATGGATTTTGGTATATTCACAGATATGTGCAACCATCACCGCAATTTTATTTTATATACTTTAATTCATTTATTGTATACTCTTTTTTCTGTTTGTTAAAAAATCAATTCAGCAAATATCTCTTAAACAACTACATGTTTTAGAAATTGTTTGAAGGAACATTCTGATTTCTGAAAGGCTATTTACTAGTAGTAAATACTGTGATTTAATATCAGTTGTAATTAATTAAATTATTAACTATTAAGCATTTCGTAAGGTATTTTTCTCAGACATCATCATGATCCTATATAATAAAAGGCTAATATGCAAATTGTCCACTCGACCAGGAGTTCAAACAGGGGGCAGGGCCGGCTGGCCAACCGCCCATGGCCTCTCCCCCTGCCCCCCCCCCCCAATCGCCCTCCCAACCCTGATCGGGGGCGGAACCAGCCAGACCCCACCCATGCACGAATTCGTGCACCAGGCCTCTAGTAAATATATAAAACAAGATCCAACAAAACACTGTGTTAGATTCAGCCAATCTACTTATTGCACTCATGTCACTCACACAAATCTAGGTCCATATTGTTAGCATCATCCATTAAGGCAGTAAGAATTCCTGTGCTTAGTTTGGTTACTAAATAGATATTCAATTTTTTTTTTTTAGTCCAAAATTAGATTTAACTCCACAGCTTAGGGAGTCATCAAAGCACCTTTTATTGCGCTAGTTTTTTCTTCCAGGTGATTCTGCAAATGACCAAAGAGAGCACTTAGAGCCTTATTGATCGCTGGTTTACTTCATGATCTTGCTTTCAACTTAGATGTCTTGTTTGTACCATCACCACAATTTTGGAACATTTTCATTACCTCGGTAAGAAACCCTTTAGCCACCCCCATCCCAGCCTGAAGTAATCACTAACCTAGTTCCAGTCTCCATAAATTTCCCTATGGTGGACTCTCATATAAATGGAATAATATAATACGTGGTCTTTTGTGACTGGCTTCTTTCAGTTTGCCTAACGTTTTCACGAGTCATCCGTGTTCTACCCTCTATCAGTACTTTATTTCTTTTTATGGCTGAATAATACTCCAAGGGATGGATTCTTTCCATTTTTGAACAATGGAGAAAAGGTCGGCATTTTAAAGAGAAAATTTGCTGAAAACTGCTTTTAAAAAGAGAATTAGTTTTTAAAATGTAGGAAGCATAGAAATGATCAGACTAGCCAAGTGTACGTTTCTGACCTTCAGAGGTTACTTATTGCGAGAACTGGTCGGGTACTATTGAGAGCTGAGCACAGAGCAGGTGCTCCACCTGGACAGAAATAAATGACTGAAGATCATTCTGCCCCACTCTACCCACGTTGAAACCCCTTCTGCAAAACCCCAGCTCCTATTTGAAACCTTCTGGCATCAAAATGTCATTTCTTCATGAGGCAACCCATTCCATTTTCTGTCAACTCTCATGGCTAGAACCTTCATCCTCTTCAATATAGTTTCTGTCCCTATTGGTTATTGCTGGAATGGCGGTGGTTTGGGGACCCGTTTTTCTGGTGAGGCGGGAAGGCAGGAAGACACATTAGTTGCCCTTCCTCTATTTAATCTAGAAATCCCCTGCTAGGAAATTATTGGTGGGTGACAAACAGACCACAGGCAAATTTGTAGTCTATCATCTTAATGTGCTAGTGATAGGATGTTTCAAAGTTGTAATGGGTGATAAAGATCAAGTCAAAATTATGGGAAAATGCTTTAAAAATCATCATGTCCTATACAGGTCTAAGGAGGTGATATTATTATTACCACAAGATTGGTGTGTATATAATGCATGGTAGCTTCAGTGAGGAAGATGGGTAAATATGAGATAGACAAACTTCGAGCGTAGGTTGAAGTTATAACTGATTTCTAGCAGGAGAGAAGCCTGACATAACCCAGGCTGACATTAGCTTTGTAGATGGCTTGGATGAAAACAGGCTTATTAAAACTGTATGTGATATGAAGCCAGAGGGAGAGCAAATTCAGTAGAATGTGGAGCAACAGAGAGCCAGTCCAGAGACAAATGTTTCTGACAAATGACAAGATGCAATCTGATAGAGACAATTGTCAGCCTATGTTCAGTTCAGAGTTCAGTGCGGGGAACACGCCTGGCTTGACAGCTGTTTGCGTGTAAAGGATCTGGGGATTTCAGATGTGTGCCGTCTCAGTTGTCCCAGCCTTGTGACCCAACGGCTAAGAATGTCAGCCCGTTATTAATGCATTACTGTATAATGCATGACATGGTCTGGTGTCAGGGATCACAAAACAGCAGTCTGTGGAACAAATCTAGCCTCCAGACAGGTTTTGTTTGGCTTTCTAGCACTGACTGGCCAAGTGTTCAGATTTTTTTTTTTCATTTGCCTGCAAGCTGGGAGATTTTACTGAAATGCCCAGATTTCAACTTTCTAATGAAAAATCGGACTTGGCTCTCTGGGGCCCTTATTCCCATATGGCAACATTGGCTTTCCCCTTGGGCTGGGCTTGTGCTCTTCCGTTTGCCAGCACAGAGGTGGGTGCCGGGAGCCACTGCTTCCCTCCCTCTCCCCCATAGCTTGCTTTGTGGTTTTCAACCCCTGACTCACTTCTCTCATGTTTGCCCTACAGACGCTGAGCATGTGGCTTGAGTGTGGATACAGGGAGGGGGTACTGCTGAACTCTCAGTAGGTCAGAACACAGCCTCAGGGCTGTGATCTGTATGAACACAGCCCATTTAAAATTCAACAAAACAAAGCCCAGTTCTTTATTGTGGAAAATTTCAAATGTACCCAAAAGTAGAGAAAACAATATATATATATAAAACCCCCAATGTGACCATCCATCTTGACCTTTAAGAATTGCAAATGTTGTTCATCCATCTCCTTCCCTCCCCCTGCACCATTACTGGAATATTTTAAAGGAAACCTCAGGTATGGTTTAATTTAGCTTGTAAATACTTCAGTAGTATGTATGCCCAACAAGTAACCACTTTTTTAAAAATAAAATAAAATAAAATATATTTTATTGATTTTTTTACAGAGAGGAAGGGAGAGAGATAGAGAGTTAGAAACATCGATGAGAGAGAAACATCGATCAGCTGCCTCCTGCACTCCCCCTACTGGGGATCAAACCCAAAACCCAGGCATGTGCCCGACCAGGAATCGAGCTGGCTGGGCTGATCAATCTATTTTTAAGTCTCTTTTAATGTATACCAACAGCTTCTCTTCCTACTCCCTTTTATGGTATTTATTTGTTGACCTATAGAATTTCCCACAGAATTTGACTAATTGCATCCTTAAGGCATTCTTTAATGAGTTCTTCAAACCTTCCTGTACACACACACACACACACACACCACACACACACACACACTCACTCACTCACTCACTCACTCACACACACTTAGATTCCTAAGCTTGATAATACTCAGATTCTTTTCTTTTTGCAAAATATGTTCTAGGAGGTTCTAGTTGTTCCACATTCCGTGATGTTAATTTTATTGGTGATTTCAGATATGGTCAGACAAATCCATCCTTACAAAATTCCACATTAGCTTCTAACCTAATAGTTTTAGCAGCCATTGGTGCTCTTTGTCCAGATTTATTATTTTATTCATGATTACACAATAGTGGTTTTCTAATTCTATTATTCCTTCTGAATTTATGACTGAACCATTGACTATTTAATTTTCCTAAAGCATATTTCATATAAAAAAGACTAGGTAATATTGCTTGACTCTTTTCCTTTTTCTACTAACCTTTAGAATAATGAGTTAATATCCTAATAACTCCCAAAGGAGATGAATTCGTTTTTATTTTACACCTTTTTTAAAGTTATATTTGACATACAGTGAATTGCATTAATAAAGTTGAGTAGCAATATTTGCCTGTATATCTTTGAGATAGATTCTAGATGTGGGATTGCTGGTCCAAGGGTTGGATATCTATTATATATAATATAAAATTATATATAACTATGTATATAATAATTTATATTATACCAAATATAATATAAGGTTATGTATAAAATATTATATATATATGTATATATAATTTTCCAGATGTACAAAGTCATCTTTAAAGAGGGTTTCTGATGGATTAGATACATTGGGAGCAAAAGGGCACAATCAAGGCTGCCTCCTAGGCTTTTCCCTTAAAAGGAACCCAGGTGAAGGGAGGGAAGGACCATTTTGTGGGATGGGAAAGACTAGGGGAGGAGCAGGGTTGGGAAGGGGAAAAAAATCAAGTGTTAGGCTTTGAATGAGTCATCCAAGTGGAGATGGCAAGTGTGCTCATGAGAGCACTGGTTGAAGGGCCTGGCTGACGGATGCCAGATGGGGCACACGCATGTCCTCCAGTTCCAGGACTGGCACGCAGGTAGTTAAGAAAGAGGCACTTCCCGAGGCTCTGACTTAAGGCCTAGCTCAAGGGTCCTCAAACTACGGCCCGCGGGCCACATGCAAATACAAATATTGTATTTGTTCCCGTTCTGTTTTTTTACTTCAAAATAAGATATGTGCAGTGTGCATAGGAATTTGTTCATAGTTTTTTTTTAAACTATAGTCCGGCCTTCCAACGGTCTGAGGAACAGTGAACTGGCCCCCTGTTTAAAAAGTTTGAGGACCCCTGACCTAGCTGGTCAAAGATCTCAGCTTGCAGGGGTGCCTTGAAGAGAACCCCAGACTTAGAAAAGGCCCATGAGACCCCCCCACCTCCCAGCCTGGTCCCTCTGGCCCTTGGACTCTGTCCTGCTGACTTTGGCTTAACCTGTTTCCATTTTATCTATTAGTCTTATAATGTTTAAAGTCATTTAAAAATATTTTTATTTTGTTTAAGTGGTTATTATTTTATTAACTGAATATTTACTAATTATTCTAATCTTCAATTTTTTTGTTCTGTCTTAGCCATTTCGTTCCTTTGACCACTCTTGTTAACAAGTATATTCTTTCCCTTTAAAATTCCACTATGTCCTTAGTCTTTTCATTTATTTCCTCTTAGTTTTCTTTTAACTTTTTCTCCCTGGACTGGGAGAATGAAGGCTACATTTAATGAGAAGCAGGGTCAAGAGGCTGAGAGGTCTGAAAGCATCTGAGTGTCTGATTCTAAAGACTGGCCTCTACCAATTCTCTTTCTGTGGTCTGATTGTGGGATCCAAAAGAGTACTCTTCTGCATTAGCCAGTTAGACTTGGGTTTCTGTCACTTGTGATCAAAAGGAGTCTTGACTGATGCAATTGTTTTTGTACAAAACATCACTTGACACTGATGACCAGTTTTCCAAATTCCTTACTGAGAATTCCTTTCAGAAAGAAAAGGCAGCGTCCATTTCTGGCTAAACTAAAAGTTACTGTAACTTTTCCAAGTATTAAACTGGCCTGGGGATAAAGGCAACAGATGCTCCCCTGTGCCTTTGTTCAAAGCCCAGCCGTCTCCATGAGCACATTTGCCATCGCCACTCGGAAGACTCATTCAAAGACTCATCATAAAACTTGATTTTCCCCTTCCTAAGTGAAAAGCCTAGGAGGCAGCCCTGATTGTGCCCCTTTGCTCCCAATATGGCTAATCCATCAGCAAGCCCTGTGCCTCCCTCCAGTATGTATCCTGCATCCTTGCACTTCTGCAGGTTCTGTCATCTCCTGCTTGGACTATTGCAGTAGCCTCTTAACGGATTCCTCACTTCCACTTCTTGTCTTTCTCCAGTTCCTTCTCCACACAGAATCCCAAAACGAGCTTTTAATAACACAAATCAGTTCCTGTCATTTCCTTGCTTAAAACCATTGATAGCTTTCCATTGCCTACAGAATAAAATGCAAAGGTCTACAGTGGTCCAGAAGGCCCCATGTATCTGAACTGGCCCCTTCCCATCTC